CTACTTCTGTTTTCATGATATTTGATAGAATCTGAATTGGGCCCAAAGAGAATCAGAGTCTAGAGTATACTTATTTTCTTCCTGGAGTCACCACTTTTCTCTTTATAATATAGAAAGATTTGGAGTTGATGGGTTTTATACATACATATTCCAAAGCCAGTAAATATGAAATGCCATGGCCAGAACTGTGGCCTTGAAGGAATCCAGAAGACACCATTCACATTAGACCATATATGAGTGGTGCTTCCCACGCACACAGTTGTACAGTGTGGCAACCCTGGACAGGCCATAGCAACCTGGAGTGTTTCACTTAGCTGTAAATTATAAATTAGCAAAGACATTGTGTCTTTTTGAACTGAAAATCTCCTAACGGTTATAATTTTGTCTGGACTTTGTTTTCAACAGATCCCAGTAGATGAGGATTGAACGAAGTGATATCAAAGCCAGTAGTATGTCATTACTGATATTGCAGGCCTTAACATTGCAAATATCAGCAGAAAGACTTATCTTTGGATTAAGTAAGCCTTTCTCTTGGGTGCATCTTATGTTTATGTTGTAGCTTTGTCTCTGAGAGTGTGTGATCTTATCACTGCGACAAACATATGCAAAAAGCATTTTAAGAGTTGAATGTAGCCTTATGTTAAAGCAAAGATTCAAGTAATTATTTGGCTATTAGTCATCTCTAGTTTGTTTCTAGTATGTTTGACTATGGTATTTTAAGTGCCATGCTTTTATCTCAAATGATTAAATCTTCCATATAAATAATTTAGTTGTCCTTTGACTGTAGGATTATAGTTTGGAGCAGAGGATAAAATCTGTGATGTAAAAGCAACATCCTTCTTATAACCATCTATAGAAAAGATGCCTACAAGTAGAACATTTGTAGAACACTATGATATGTTTTCTGTTTTACACGGGACAATAATGTTTGAGGTAGCATGATGCAGCAGGCTTTCCCTATTGTTCCTTTTATATGTCTGTGTTCTAGTGATACTGAAAAGCAGATGTGCCCAGGAAACACTGCATAATTCATAGGATTTCACTGCCTTGGCACATGCGGGTCCCTCTACCTGAAATGCCTCCCCCTGCACACTGACCCTTCAGCACCCTGCCCCCGAAGCAGGGCTCAGCTCTGATGTTCCTTTCCCATGAAGCTTCCAGGATCCCCCTCCAATCTGCAGAAATTTACCTCTCCCCTGGCTCCCATACTTCTTTGTACCAGTTTACCTTCCATTTTACAGTTTTACTCTCTGCTGTGGGTTATAGTTATTTGCATGTCCGTCTTTTCTTCCAACTACCATTCTTCTGAATAGGGGTCTTTGTTTTTAATCTTTCACAATGTCTGGCACATGGCAGGTGCTAAATAATTCTTTGTGAAATAAATAATCAGGTTTCCCCCTTGTTAGTTTAGCCTGTTTTATGGTAGTTCATTTGACATCTGTTTTATTTGGCATTTTAGTATATAGAGTATATACTTTTTATCTGAAAAGTAACTGACCTCTGCTCTTTCCTATCTAACACTGCTTAACACATTGAAATCTAATGTCTCAAAAAACCAGATGCCAATAGTTTTAATGATACACTCTCTGTAATTAAGGGAACAGTTCCAATTACTTTTTAAGATGCAAAAAGATTGGGTCCATTGGTAAATAAATACTGGAACTTTCTCCAGTGACATTACTCTATCCCAACCACTTGCCAGTTTGGGTTTGGACTGTTCTTTCTATACAAAGTAAACACAGTTTAACATCTTGTTTCAAGATCTTATCCACCTCTCTGAAGTCCAAAATAGAAATAAGGTAAAAAACAGAACTGGGAGCTCAGTGAATTATAGAATTGCTCATTATTGCATTTTTATTTGTAAAGCAATACATTATCTCATTATTTATCTTTTTTATTTGGACCAGTAGGGTCCTGAAAGATGTAGAGGATTTTGGAAAGTGAGGGGCTTTAGTAACAAAGATGGAGATGAATGGAAGAGAAAATTCCAAAATGTCATTTCCTGTCAAAGCTATTCCTCTACCAGTGGGTGGTCAGGTAGCTACTGGAGTGACCTCTGAAAGGAAAACTTAGATACCAATGAATTCCCGTGTGGAGGTCAGTATGGTGGTTTGGGCAGCTCTCTAATTCTGGCAATTCTCGGCAAGGGGTTTCTTTGATCACTGCCAGTTTGGGGTGTATAGCAGCACTTTGGGGAGGAAATCAGAAAGCAGACCGTTCGTGCTAGACAAATAGGTGTCTGCTGACTAGTCACGGAGGTGTAAAATATTATGTCTGTGTAGTTAACCAAGTCTCTCAGAAGTGATACGAGAACCATCGTCGATTGGACTTGATCGTGTTGCCTCGTTCCCTGGTTTTCTGGCTCTTGTCCTTGTTTCTTTCATCCCTCAGTTAAGGAGATTCCCAGATAAGGAAGGCAGGTTAATCATGTTACTATTTTAACAGTGTCTCTGTTTCACTTGAAGATCTGCCCAGGATTTAGAAGCTGTTGACACCTCAGATACAGTACTGAGCACAGCACAGTGCCACTACCAAGAATACCACAGGGTAACTGGAGAGATGCCAAGTGTGAATGAGTGCTGTCTGCCACTGTCTTAATTCCAGATCTTTCCCAAACAGTAGTCAGTAGAGGCTAAGAAGCCTTGTTTCGCTTTTCTCCGTGCCTCAGAACTCAAAAGGAAAGTGAATCATGGCTCTGGAGAGCTCTTTCCAGCTTGGCATCCAGTGAGTGTCACTCAGCTGGCTCTTTATCCCAAGTGCTAATTGATACTGTTAACCTTCTGCAGTGATGCCAGGAAATAGTAATGAGGAAGTGACACTCTGCTCATCTTGTGCCAGGAGGTTTTATTTAGAGAACTATACGTTTATTTAGCCAAAGCGCACTAAAGTAACATCTCACTGTTTAGTATACTTGGAAAGATGAATTATTATGTCAACTGATATCTTGTAGAAATTGTTACATACCTAAGAAGTGGGCCTTTCTTAGCTTCTCAACAGAAGGATCAAGCCTAATGTACTCTACCGGTATATTTCCTATGAATTAAGAAGGTATTCCCTACTCATAGGAGCTTCTGTTAAAATATAATCCTTCACTGAGTCATGAAAAGCAGTGTGCTTTCTTTGTGTGTAATTTTTGTGTAATGGTTTACTTCTAATAAAATTATATTGTTTACTTAGGGTGAGTATGTATATGTCTAACGTGCGGGTATATAGTTAAATAGGAGCATACACGTAAGCATTTCAGATCCCCATAATGGCTTCTCCACCTACGTGCGTGGCCTTGGATGAGTTGTTTAGCTTCTCGTGCCCAGTTTTCTATCTGTACCTGCCTCACAGGGCACTGTGAAGCTTACATGAGAGAAACATGTATTACATTTCGAGCTGTTCTTGTCAGAGGCTCAGTAATATCAGCCATTATTATTATTTCTTCATGTTATCAATTTTTAAATTTTTATTTGTATATTTTCTTAATTTATATCTACCCAACTATATTTGCTGGATTTAACCATTCTCAGAGGGTGATAAGACTCAAAATAATGTTACACTTTTCTCCTCTCTTGGGATTGGGTTTGTGTTTCACCTTGACAGAGAACAGCATGAGAAGTCCTTGAGCTAACGAACCAAGAGCCATGATAAGTCAACGGTGGTCTAAAACAATATTACGAAAAGATATTCAGGAAGTTAGGGACTGTGTACAGTCAATAAAAGTCTGTTGACCTTGGGTGATTGGGGTTATGTGCTAGGAAAATCACATGTCTTTAATTGAAATATAGAATTAAAACCTGGCTCCTTTTGTTCATTGCCACTCCTACCTACCTACCTACCCACATGCACACATGCACACACACATACATACCACCTGTATTCTACTTGTTGAGGAAAATGGATGAAAATATCAGTATAATCATGTACAAACAAATACAAGTGTATATACGGAAAACTGATGTAAGAAGAAAAGTTATTATTATTTTAGAAATCCTCTAACAGAAACTCATTTTATATGACAGGTTTATCATCCTCTTCACCTTTATAACTACGCTAATATACCATATAATATATGTTTTAGTTTGTTTATATTTTCAGGGTCTATTAAAAATGAAATTGAAGCAAGTATACTTAGATTCTTTTGTTAACATGTTCATTATACTAGTTGCCAAAAAGATAAAATCCTTATTCTTTAGGCAGAGGGGAATTTTCCAAATGTCAGCTTATTGACTAAATGTTTTCTTGTTTTGCTGTAATTTGTTTTTGTCTTTTGAAAATTTTTAATATTCACTTTCCTTGATCGCTTTTCTTTCTTTTGATCTAGTGATGAAGTCACAGTTTCACCTATGCTTTTTGTATAAGTGAATGTAATACTAACTGCTTTGACTTCAGAATCACATCAGAGATCAGAAACAAGCATTGTCCCTACCTCCTTTGTGCCTAATATCGTGTATTCTTAGAACTGGAATCATCAAAATGACACCTGAAGCGCGTGTAGATGACTCCAAAATGTAGTGCCATTTCCACTCACTAGCAGGTTGCTTTGTCACATCACTTGCTCTCAGAGCAGAGCCAAGAGGAGCGTAGGTGCAGGGAAGACAGATTTGTAGCTGAAGGGAAACTAAACGGAGTGGCTGTGGAAGGACACGCCCGGGTAGGACACTCAAAGCGGCTTGCTGCCAGCCAAACGTTTGACAAGTAACCCCAATGGGCAGTGGTGGGAGGGCACTAATGACAAAGTTCACCTTCGCCCCAATTTTGTCCTGACCCTGTTGTCCACTCGTATAATGTCTGGTTTTGAAAGACACAGATCCTCTGTGTTGTATAGAAGGTTTCAATATGCAAAAAACTCTTAGATACCGGTCTACTATTCATTAAATGCCAAAAACATAGTTGAGTGCTGAGCTGTAAATGTCTGTGGTGCCTATGATTGAATGTATTTTTTTCCTGCATGATCATCCATTGTGCTGTTTGTAAGTAGCAAAAAAATGAGCCTGATTTGTTCTCCTTTGTAGAGCCAGGCCGAGGCCCACTACAAAGGAAGTAAACATGCCAAGAAGGTCAAAGCACTAGAGGCAACGAAAAATAAACCCAAAATGGTTTCTTCCAAGGACAGCGCAAAGGCTAATCCCAGCTGCTCCATCACTCCAATCACAGGCAACAACTCTGACAAATCAGGTCAATGACACTTTTCGTTCTTTACATTCTTTGTGTTCCTCCTGGTCCTCTGGCCTCACCCCATCCTCCTCCCCTCCGCTGTTGCATGTTACTCTCCATGATTTGTTTTTATAATATTAATACGTTCCCTTCACAGGAAGGGTTATGTGTTTGCACGGAATCTAAGCATTTGATAGGTTACCATTCCATGTTGTTAAATATATACATTTAAGTGTATATGTGGGTGTGTAAATATATATATAAGTATATATGCACGAAAATAAGTGGAGGCTTCTTGGTCACATTGTGTTTAGACAAAAATCAAGAAATGGATCTAAAATACTGAGTTTATTATTCATTTTACATTTGGTTTTTGCTATGGACTTTTTCAGTGAAGGAATCCTTAAATTTGTTTATTAACAGACGTTTTCATATTTTCTTACCCCAGTAACAGGGAGTAGAAGGGCAAAAAGGTAAAGTTTTCTGAGAGAGTGGCATTATTAAGTGAATCTGGAAATGTGTTCAATAGTAAGAGATTTTGATTCTTCAAGATATTCATAGAGTTCTCCTCAGAGTTACAAATGAACTCAAAAGATAAGGAACTTTTCACGGTTATGATCTGACTAACAGAAGAACTTTATAAATTGGAAATGGGCTACTAGTGGAAGTGCCTCTTAAGCAGAGTATTTCATAGTTCCAGTGAATCAGCAGGTTTTCTGAGTAGGTTCAAACTGAATGATTCAGGGAGAAGAGAAAAAATTTATTTTTCCAGCAGGTATGCCATGAAATTGGGTGTTTAATAGGCTTTCACACATTCACATCCGCCCATCAGGACCCAAGATGGGTAAGTCACCTTGTTGCAGTGACTAACTGAGGAACAGTGCCTAGTAAGGGAAACTAAGAGAATAGATCCCTTTTTCTTATGTTTGATTCTCTCCTTAGGGACCTTTCTGTTGTTGGAAACACAAAGACACACACTTCTTGTCTTATTCTCTTCTGCTTTCCAAGTCATTGTAGACTTAAGAGACTTAAGAACGCTTTCCTGTGGTTTCCCAGGGCCTTCGGAGAAGCACAAATCCATTTGTAAGAGGAAGATTCAGAAAAGCCTGGTTAGACAAAGAGAGACTATGTAAGAAGTGACTACTATTGATGAGGTCCCACAGATGCTGGTTCCCAAGGCTCTGCAGCCTAGAGTGAGTGAGCTGACCCAAATTTGGTGATAAAGGCTTTTGTTCTTTGTGCGATAGCATCACTAAATCATGTTATCTGATGAACAGATAATAAATACTGAATTATTACATTGCACTTTTCCCCTTCTAAAGAACAAAGCCTTTTTACGTATATTAGCAAATTAATCTTTAACCCAGATCTATCAGATATTAGGGTCAAATGTTATCTCCAGTTTATAAAGTAGCAAACCAAGGCGAGGTCCACATTGCAGCCGTTATTTGCTCAAGGTTACCCAGCATTTGGAAGAACAGGAGCCATCACCTCCTGACTTCCTGCCTAGTTTCATTTTCTGCAGGATATTGTTGCCTCTATGAAATAATACTCTGTCAGGTTTTATTACCTGAATTATGCTCTTTACCAACAGAAGTACTTATAAGCAAAATGATAAAACAGTGGAGGTTAGTGTCACTCCATTCTTTCAGCTTATTTTGTGTCTCGAGCTAATAGCACAGTGGGAAGGTACTGTAAGCATTCCTGCATTGCTATTGCGTGTGCTCAATGCTCCCATTAAGTTATATTATAATATATATGACTATTATTTGCAGATTGGGTTTGCTCTAGGCATAGTAGATGAAATTAAAATTAATGAGGGAAAAAAGTGTTAAAAATGGAAATAGAAAAGGCTCAATGAGAGAAGAATCAATGAACAAACAGAAGATAATTAAAGGGAGAGGGAAAGGTGTAGAAGAAGAGGAAAGGAAGAGAAAAAAGTCAACAATTAGCGAGTAGACCCAAGAAAAGAGCAGTATAGAAATAGAAAATCCAAATAAAGGGGCTGGGTCGGAATCACAACATACCTTAAATCTACAAGATGCCCAATGAGCATGTTAAAATAAAGTTCAATGACTCAAGACTTTTATTCTGACTCTCAAATGCTAGTGAATGCTCAAGTGAAAGAGACTTTACAAACAATTGTGTTTGGCTAGCGGGCAATAGAAACACACCAGGGTCAAGTACAGCAGTGGTATAAACAAGGAAAGAGAACTGAGATCTAGAAGAACCCTAGGAGATGAGAGTGGGGAGAGAGGAAAACAAATCTCAACCGCAGAGTCTCTTTCCCAGTAGCTATGTGATGGTCTTTAATCCAGCGTCCTCTGCTTCCTCTGACACTTCCCTATCTACCCCGCAAAGTACCTATGGTCTAACAGTATTGACCTCAGTCACCATGTCCCTGTCCATACTTGGACTAGAAGTAATGCAAACTACCTGTAGTTGGGGTTACCTCATTTTTCCATGTTTCCTTACTCAAATCTATATAAATTATTTGGCAATACATTGGTTAGGTCATTCAAATTACTTTTTTGTTTCTCCATATTTTAAATATTAATACTAATGAAATATTTAGTTCGTCCTGTTATATCTATAAAAGCAATACCAAAGCTGTTGAAAGATGGCACTATTTAAAAACAAAGTGGGTCGTATTTGCTAAATAGATACATGGTTTTTTGTCACTTTCAACTGAATGTCAGCTTTTAAGCAAGAATTCACATGTGTTTTTTTCTTTCTTCTTTTTTTTTTTTCACACGTGTTTTGTAGAATTTTCAAGTTAGAAAATTAGAAGTTTTGCCCAGATGGGAAATCTGGTCTAAACAATGTAATACATAACCAGTTGTTAACCACCTATTTCTAAATCCTTAAAAAGCTCCCACAGCTTTGTCAGAGTCATAAAAGTTTTTGGTAACTTGTTTTGATTTCCTTTAAAACCCCGTTTTAGAAGTTAGGAGACACGAAGACCAGTCCTTCATAAACAGTCTAGGTGGGATGTAGAGGGAAGCGGGAGGGAAGAGGAAGAACTGTGGTACTTAATTAACTGAAGTGTTTTACTTCAGACAACACTGCCTCTAAGGAGTCAGCCAAAAATTAGAGTAATAGTCACAGTGAAAAGCCATGGTTGATTGACAGTTCTTAAGAGACTGAAATTCCCTAGCACTGGTCTTTTTCTTCTGAATGAAGTGTTCTATCAAGTGGGCTTAAGCAATATCTATGTGATTTTGAGATAGTTGAGTGAAAAGTAAATGTTAGTAACTTGATGTCTCAGCTACCAGATTTCAAAATCCAGGCATTCACAACATCCATAGGATTGACTAATTCAATTTCCATTCTCATTCTTTAGCATCAGTAACTTAGCAAGAGTATTGTTCAATGAGGGCAAATCCTGAGGAACAGGAAATAGCCAGATGTTAAGGGAGGGGGCTTCTGGGAGTGCAGCATCCTGGGATGCACTGAACATCAGTCAAGGAAGAGTGTGATTTCAGAGTATCTGACAAGGAGCATGCGAGCCACAGATGACCTCGCTTTGCTCCTTGAGAGCACAGATTATTTATTCTAAGAAGTGGCCTAACAATCTTCCAAGAGCTATTGATAGAAAAGCCTTTTTACCTCCTATTTTAGCAACTGGGACAACCACTTTTTTATGATGCATTTGGAGACATAATTTAGATCATGTTGTAACTGGATCTGTGCAATACAAAGAAATTTGCTATAATGGAGCTATCAGATATAAAAAGTTAAGGGTATAATGGAAAGCTTTCCTTTTTTTTCCTCTCAAGTCAGTAAACAAAATGAGTTTAAACTACAGTAACAGGAATTTCATTTATTATAAGACGCTCTGACCACATGATTGAAAGAAAATTAAATATGTTTTATTTCAGGCAGGATAGCTGTCCTATTCACTTTTTAGAAGTTGGAGTAGAATTAAATGTAAAATCCAAAGAAATAGCTTTCTGGTCTCCTAGGATCTATCCCAGCTTTTAATGATGCATCAGTGGGAGTTCAAAACTTGGTAGAAAGGAGGAAAAAGGTGCTTTGGGAGAAATGGGATCAAGACACAGCAAGCATTAGGCAGCTTCAGGAAGATGGCTAGAACATATTGGCCAGACACTGTGCCCAAATTTCTCCCTAGAGTTCAAGTGTCATAATGCCATATGACACAACACTTCCCTGTGATAATATGCCCCATACATCAAGTTGAATGCTCTTTGTGACAGCACTTAACCACTCATAAGAAGCTCAAAACAAAACAAACAAACAAACAAAAAACAGAGCCTTTGGAAGACCTTATTTCTTGAAAATAATAAAATATTTTGATAATCAACCTAATGGTAAAAAATATTGTGATCGTCGACCTAATCATCCATATGTCTAGTCTTTAGCCCAAGATTTTTTTTAATTAATTAGATATCAAGATGGGGAAAATACATTTGTAGCTCAAAGTATATAAAGCCATTTAGAGCTAAACAGCTTTTAATCAGTTGCTGTGTAAAAAGACGAAAGCAGATGGAACGATTCAAAATGCTATAGATACATTTATAAATGCAATTAAGAGCAAAGGTGATGGAACCAGCATGTTCTGCTTAAAATATAACAAGAGGAACACCTTGAATTTGTTCAGTTGATAAAATCCAGTCACATAAATGTTTTCGTATGACCCCCTCAACAACCCTGTGGCTGGTAAGGCTGATACTAGCATCCCTCTTTCACATATGCACACAACAAACTCTGTATCCATTTATTCATTTAACAAATATTTATTATCTATACTAAGTAGTATAGTACATCTGTAACATTGGCCATTTCAAGCATGCAACAATGAACAGAAAGACATGTTCTTGCCCTCAAGAGATTCCAAAAGAAAAATAATATAGAATCGCCACCTTCAAGCTGCTCCCAAAAATGTGGTAACAGTGAAGAACCTGGGTCTTAGAAAGATTAAATGGCTTGTGTGAGGCTTTAAATGGCTTGCACACTCATATCCCAGTAGAGTCACAGCAGGAACTCAGGGCTTCTTGTTC